GGTGCCAATAGTTTTATCGTACTGAGATTCACCTGGTGAAAGTGACAAAGTATATTTTCTGTTTAATTTATTTCAACAATGGCTAGGATTGGAGGGGGGGGTGTCCTCTTTTAAGTTGGCAGGTACTGTCTTTATTTCAGTTGCTTATGAGTTTACATGTACTAGTTTGTCTATATATTAGCTCCACAATATTTTAAGCTTTGAGTGTGGCGTAAACTCTTACAGAACGCACCCCTCCCACCCAATACGGTTACAATTAAAATCTGTTTGTATTTATGTTACTATCCGCACCACTCCCACCCACCCCCTCCCCAACCCCCACCGCTCCATCCCATTTGGCACTCTTCGTACTAATTGAGTTTTGAATACTGTAACCTAGGATACCAACCCCAATCCCCTTCTCCCTATCTTATGATGCACTTTACATATCTCGAGTTTTGAATACTAGTAACCTAGGATACGTGCGTTGGCGTCTGTGTCTACGTCATATCCTCTATTCCCATGACTAACCTAAGCCTTTACTTGTCATTACCCCAGCCCAATCTAAACACATCGTCCTAAACTTAATCATAACCTTAATCTTTTCGCGATCCACTATCTTAAACCTAGCTCTAAACCTAATCACAACCTCCGTCTTTTCTCAATCCCCTGTTCAATACTTAGCGAGATAGTCCTATAATTTCCATCGTATAACGTGCAAGAACTACTACCCCTCCGTCTCTCTAACTTGTAAACAAGAAACTACTAAAACACGGTGTACTCAGCTGCTAGCTAACTCGAGCAGACGACAAGACTAACGCCTGCATCGCGATAGTGCAGGCGTGCAGTGAGTCAGATGCCAAGGGATGATCACAGACGGGTATCACGTGGGTTGAAATTACCTGGCAGAAACAAGAAGGTCGATTACCTAACGGCACGTGGGAGCAGAGAGCCAGTCACGTGATGCCATCAGGGCACTTACCTGAGAACAAGGAAGGTGTTCCATTATCTGAAGGAAGGTGTTCCATTATCTGAATGATGAAGGTGTTCCATTATCTGAAGGAAGGTGTTCCATTTTCTGAAGGAAGGTGTTCCATTATCTGAAGGAAGGTGTTCCATTATCTGAAGGAAGCTATTCAACTACCACTTATCACGGAGGATGGTTCATTACTTTATCAAAGTTCCCATTTAAAAAATGCTCTACGCGTACTGTTATCATTATCTGTCTGTCTATATGTTTGTGTGTGTGTGTGTGTAAATATGTGTGTGTGAGGCAAAGAGTAGAATAGTAATTTGTCCCGCATGTAGGTAACATCAGCACACAATCCCCCCCCTCCACCACCACCACACCACAGAGGTGTAGCTAGAGAAGAGCGGGTGGGGCGGCCGCCCCGGGCGACGACCTATAGGGGGGGGGGGGCGCCGAACGGGATAGAAAAATAAATTGAAAAGCTCTTTTAGAGCTGCATTGCTAAATTATACACAGTCGAAGCTAAGAAAAATATACCATTACTCGGTTTTTTACGGGCTTATTTAACTGTTTTCTATATCAAATGTCTGACTTTTACAAAAACATTAACGGACAGTGACTGGTAAAAAGCGCCCAAGACACTGGGGGTGGGGGGGGTGGGTGGGTGGGGAGTTATTTGCTAATGCCAATATGAATAGCTATACACATGAGAATGGAGGGGACACAAAGTTGAAAGTTCACCCCGGGCGCCGGAATGGGTCGCTACGCCTCTTCCAGACAAACCCATTCCACTACTAATTCTATTGTCAGGTAACACTACTGATGGTCTTCGATCGTCAGACAAAGGGCTCATGTTACGTCACATATGGTCACGTGCCCTGCAGGGAGGAGAAGAACGACCACCACTCATCTCCCCACGTAGATAGACATCTGGTAACAAACCGTTACGTGAACTTGAGCCACACATAACGCGGGAGTTTTTATTGTGTAACAACCATCTGAGCAATACAGCACTCAACATCTGACTCAAAAGTCTCGAGTTCACTCCAAAAATCATGTTATTTTATTTTGCATCACATTAAAATATGACATATTCTCGCGTTGTCATCGGAAATGAATTGCTCTGAAAAGTTTGAAAGAAATCGGTTCATTTTAAAACGGTAAAACTTGTGTTAATAGATTTGACCTCAAATCTACGCACCCCACCCATAAACATTGTGACCTAAGAAAAATCTTTCAAAAAAAGTTAAAAAGGCAGAGGTAGAGTAAAATGTGTGCTGAATAACTCACAATACGTCACCAAGATGACGTCGTTTCATCACCTGACGTCACGTCTTTAGCATGACGTCATCTGTTGTACCCCCCAAATCTTTTTACAGCTTGTAAAAAACACGTGCTTGAGTTGGCGGGCAGCCCAAAATAACCCGGGGCTTACGTCAACATCAAACGACCCAGGCCCTTAGTTGGTCGCTTGACCAACGGCCACTTGCCGGGTATTTGACCCGGGGCTAATCAACTGTTGACCTCAACACAAGAGGTGTCTGTGACGACATTAGTGTCAACACGCTGGGAATGATAGCAGACGATGGTCGTCTGAGATCAAAATACCGGAAATAAAGGCGGCTGAGGTAATTGAGTCACCAAAGGGCATTCACTGTCTACTCCAGCAGACGTCACTATCGCGTCACCTGGAAGTGATGAATCAGTGAATGACGGGGGTGATGTGTGAAGAGGTGACATTGTGATGGCATACAAACACGGGGCGGGGTCTAACAATAACATGACAGCTTAGAACATGCCGGGGTATCAGGGCAAGGATCGGACACAACATCACTGATGACAGGCTTATAGGTAATTAGGGCTAGGTGTGGTATGCACTTCTGTAGTATAGCCTCACTGAGACTCGAACAAGTATATATGTATGCAGAGGCGTAGCGAGGGGGGTGCGGACCGAACCGGGTGACACCATTTAGGGGGGGGGGGGGGGGGAATGACACCAAGGCAAAAAATAGTAAAATATATAGAGAAAAAACTTGAGGGGGGGGGGGGGGACTGCAAATCGAAAGTTTGAGGGCGGGGTGCAAATCGAAAATTTGAAAGTTCGTCCCCGGGAAGGGTTTCTACGCCTCTGGGGGGTGACACCAGTAAGTGCCGCACCGGGTGATACCCGACCTCGCTACGCCACTGTATATATATATATATATATATATATATATATATATATATATATATATATATATATATATATATATATATATATATATATATATATATATATATATAAGTTATTGTCAGTTGAGGGCGCGTAAAGGTGAATTCAAAACAGGTTTTGAACCTTTGAATAAAATTATTCTGGCTCAAAAATAGTTTTCTGTTTGCTTGGATACGTCTTGTTCGGGTATACATAAATTGAAATAAAATGGTAAGCCATTCACGGCTCCCCCCTCCTCCCCTCCCCCCAGTCTATTGACCGTCTTTCTTGGCGTCTGTTGACATAGCTTGTTGCCACGGACCCCGCGACTCTGTTTACGCGTCTGGTCATGCGCAACAGCTGGAGAACGCGCTAGTCTAGTCCCGCGTCACGCTACCCGTTTCACCCTCGTCACGACTCGTCCGCTGTCACACGAGTTGGTCAATTGAATATTGAATTTTTTTTAAAGTGGTATTTTCTTTGTATGAAGTGAACAAAGTTAAAACATGAATTTGTATAGTAGATACATCCCCTCTACATAGATGCAAGTTATACCTTTTTTTTGTTTACATTTGCCAACAATAAACACTTCGCCTTTTAAAATGAAAAATAAACATTTTAGCATTTTAAAAATATATGTAAACATTTTTACATTTACAAATGTCAAATAAACATTTTAGCTTTTTAAAATGATAAACATTTTAGCATTTACAAGGTTCAAGTAAACATTTTAGGGAGATGTTTACGGCTGGCGACTGCGGTTAGAAATATCAAAATAGCTTACAATGTATGCTAAATCAATTCTAAAGCAGTTTGGCAAAGATCCAAGTCACTACCTATTTTCCCTCGTGGGTCGAGCCTCGCTAACAGGGCTCCACGTGGATTCAACACGAGTCACGGGAAGGAGAAACCTTTTGCGTAGTTCCCATTGACCGCCCTCTAGATCGGACTGGGCGGGAAAGAATGTAAAAACACGTCATTGTTACTTCAATTAAAACTTTTTAACGGTCATTGATTTGCCGCACCCACTTCTTCTTTGATCATGTTGGGGTCAGGTTTAGAGTTAAAGATAAAATTGTTTACAATTTACGAATACATCTGAACTTAGTCTAGGTTTTGTTAAAGTTACAGTTAGGACTTGCGCCTAACTCAAAATATTAAAATCACCCCCCCCCCCCGAGTACGTTTAAAGATCTTTACAACCCACACCCAGCCCACCAAGTGACATTCCTAACCCGGCAATTACATACAACACCCTACGCTTCAAATTTGCGTATTGGTTTCAGAGGCCTTTAGAAAATATTTTTTTTATTAGGCTATACTGACTACACAGGGCGGTGAAATCATGAACGTATTTAAATTTTAAAAAATTGTAAAACGACCGCTTGAGACGACCCCCTAATGTAAATTGTGAAGAAAAAAAAATGACGTAAGTTAGTGACTGGACCAGCGACGTGGCAGACTGTGTTTGATTCATCTCAATGTGACCCTTGTGACTATTGTCCTATGGCCTTTTTAGATACGACCGTAGTTATTCAAGTATTCTATTCATGGGTTAATTCAAGACTTAGATAAATAAAATACGCAGTCGATCTCCATACACATTCTGGGCCGGGGTACACGGGGCATGTCCTGAAACGTCACAGCGCGTGTTTTTCTACGCTGTTTTACTAGAAGTCCACGTGTTCTAATTATAGACAAACCATTTCATTGGCTATTCGCCAGACGTAGTAGCAACGGTATGCAAAACCGCAAGGAGAAAAAAAGCGAGGGGGTAGGGAGAAAAAGTGACGCGGCGGGCTGCGGAGTAAAGGGGAGGGAACGGCGTGTAACCCGTTCACCTTGTGATTGCGCCAGGCGAGATAGCGCGCGGTATAAAAGTGAAGTGCATGCCTCGGTCGGAGCGCGCGTTTCAACTGACTTGGCCGTGTATTCCTACGCTGTAGTCAACGCGAACTTCTCATTTCATCCTGTGTCGCTGGATTGTTTACATTTCTCACTCAGCAAAGAAACATTGAGCGTGGCTTTTTGTGTGAACTCACGGATTAACGTAATAAAACTTTGGATTTAAATTCACTTGGATATTTATTCACGTTGGATTTTATACTAAAAAAAGAAAATTAACCTGAGTTTGTTAAAGTGATGAGTACGAATACAAACATTAACACGACGGATCGTTAAAAGTTAAAATCTGATACTGGAATAAATCCTAATGGCACCGCCTGGGGTGAACTCATTCTATGATTACCTGGACAACATCATGACCACCGGATCTAGCTGTTACCTGTCGTCGTCCAAGCTCTCCGTCATCGGATCGTTATCTCCATCCTCCTTCAAACCCTCCTTCGGTCCCCTGTCGCCGTCGACCTACTCCATAGGGCTGTCGGTCATTCATTCTGACCACGATTACGTCATCAAACCGGCCCAGGTGACGTGTCAGTCAAGGTCAGATGTGGCCGAGAAATTGTCGCCAGCAGACGATGAGAGCAATTGTGTGGGTGATGCAATGCTCAGCAGCGCCGCAGATTTCGGAAATTTAGCAGACGATAACATGACGGGCTCGGATTTCCTGCAGGATTTAGGTAAACCTTTTTTTAAAGATTTTCGGGGATTTTAGGGGTAGATCTAGATTTATCTTGAGATCTAGATCTGCATCTAATTTTCATTCTAGAAATCTAGTAAGTCATTAGCCCTATGGCTGTTAGTGTTACTTTTTCTGTAACTTTTCCTACATGTATTTTCTTAAGTGATCATTTATTTCCAACCAAAAATTATAACTTTCTTTCGTCGATTCAAAGCTTGAACCTGCGGTAGACACATCACCGTTAATACAAGTCAACCGAAAACGGCTATTTTCCCGAATTCATATCGAAACATCGAAATCTATTAGATCTAGATCTACTATTGGCCGTACGGGTTTATTCGAACATCTCGATCGAGTCTAGGCTAGTACTCGCGATAGAAGTAAAGGGCTTGTAATGTGGTATTTCAGGTGCGGCAGATAGATCTAGATCTAGATCTAGACTCTATATGATACTAAATGTTCACTGCAGGTTATTGTGTTATTTTGATTTCAGTGAACTTGTAAAGATTATGTCGGACCAGATTAAAATAGATTTAACTTAATCTTGATTAAATCATTAAAGGGTTTTAGCGGTAGGACGTTTTAACGCCAGTATTTTCACGCAATCAATTTTTTAAAACTAGTAACGCTACCTTAAACGTTAGCGCCCTAACCCTACCTTAACCACACCCCTGACGGATATGCTAGTGGAAGAACAACCTTATATGGAAATGTTTTAAATTTCTTAAGAAACTAACTTAAGACATAGATAGCATTCCCGTCTTTCAAAAATTTGGCGGTTTCCGTTTAAATTTAAAATTTGTCTTGCCACGTTTTACACGCGATAGCCGGGTGGGCGGTGGCGGTATCAGACTTAGCGCAATTAGCGGAGATAATACCGGACCGTTGGGGTAGAGTGGCCCGCCGTACGGGATCATATTTTGTGAGATACCGGAACGTTGAGGTAGAGTGGCCCGCCGTACGGGATCATATTTTGTGAGATACCGGGACGTGTGGGGAGATCATCATGATTAGAAGGTGGGGTGGGGGGGGGGTACGCTTAGGAAGTAACACCAGGCCTAAAGTAGGGTAGTGGTACTCTGCGGTTACCCGCCTCTAAACCTTATCAAAGTGGGACTATGGTAATCTCATGTTCGTCGGCCCGCGGGTCTTTTATCTTCCCAATGACGGCCGCTATCTTTTGGTTTGATGATAGGACTATCTGGGCACTAAAAGCATCTCTCTCTCACACCGACTGCCGATGTCCTAGCTCACGCTGATTAAATTATCGCTTCGGTCTCCAATGTTATCGTATCATTTCTTCTCGGTCCTGCATATGTTGGCGAATACCCACATAATTGTAAACTTAATACTTTTAGTGTATTTTTTATTTGGGGAGGAGGGGGTTTAATGACCAAAGCCTATTTGTATAGGACTACTAAAGATGGGTCATGTAGAATTCGACTAGGCTATATTATCAAATTAATAACTACAAGTAGTCTTGTGAGGTAGATGTTAAATTACATTCGTTCGATAAGGGGGGGGGGGCTATGTAATTAAATATATGTAGCAGCAGCTTTTTGTTCATTCTCGAAATTCTACGGTATTATGGTTACATAACATCCTCGGGTTTTACACACGATGTCGCATTCAAATCCCCCTGCAACAGATGGATGCATCCGATCGCTATCCCGGGCCCGGCGCACTATTCAAATGACGTGATGCAATCGTCAGACGCCGCGGTGATCACACGTGTCACTAACCCGCAACACGTGGTACACGCAGACGGGAGTTGTGTGTGGCGTGACACGTGGTTTCATCAGCAGAGGCAGATAGTGAGCTTTAGCGAGACGTGTAACTAGACGCGAGTGTCCCTGGGCTGATAAAGTTTCACTCGTGTAGCTATGGTAAAAAAACGTGATTCATATTTCTACCTTACCGTCCTAATTAAAATCAAAAGGGGATGTTCGTGGCTGCTGTTTAAAGAAATTAAATTAAAGCGAAATTTAGAAGAAAAAAAAAAAACAGCCATAACCTATTTTAAACCTTTGAGTTCACTTGATTTCTAGTTTAACTGATAAGGCTAGATGTAACTGGTCAACTATTACGCTAATGTTTAAGTTGTATGAGGCCTATGTTTAGCCGGATCTTACTATGTACGTGTTACAAATTTCTAGTAAATGTTTACACCATTAAAAACACGGATGCGAAAGTAAAGTACTTTCACGAAGAACCTAATACAGCCGACACTTGAAGAAGAACCTAAAACAGCCGACACTTGATAAACTTCCTCGTTAAGAGTAGCCGTGTCAGGCGAGTGCTAGTATCACTCAAGTGGTGGGTGGGGTTTTTCCCTGCTACCCTTCTGCCCCCCCCCCCCCCAGTGCAACCCAACCACCCCTTCAGCAGCCTATATTTGTCCTGCGGTTCAAGTGTTTTAAGTAGACCTACTTGAAATATTTTTTTTTCGGAAACTGATTTTGATCCGTTTACTATTCCGAGCTTCTTCTTTTTAATAATAATACGTTTGGTGATGTATATATTATGTCTAATGAGATTTTCTTTTTTTACTCACTTCCAGATAATATTGACTTCAGCCTGGCCGACCTTGACCCCTGCAGCGACATGACCATGGAGGACAGTTTCCAGGACTTCATCGACTCCGCCATCGACAAATCTGTCCAACCGTTTTTCGGCGCCGATATGGACGGCGAGGCGCCCCAGCCCCACAACACCGTCATCTACAACAAGGAAGAGTTCCTCCACCGGCTGGGGTTGACGCCCACCCCGACACCTGACGTACAGGCACACCTGGTCAGCCCTAACTCCGAACCATCCCATCCCACGCTCCACAGTTCACCTTTCACCTCTGACCTGATCCCGACCAAAAAGGGGTCGTGTTCCTGCTCCGAGACCACCTCCTGTGTGGTCTACTCCACGGCCCACAGCCAGCACATCGTCCAGACCTGCTCCAGCACCGTCAAGTCCAGCAACCCGCTCCACAAGGGCGTCAACCTACAGCTCTACTCACACGAACCCATGACTCCGCTCACCATTGACACGTCTTTCACAGACCTCCCTGAAACATTCCACATCGACTTGGACAATTCCACACACTCGGATGATGAAACGGACATGTGCACGGAGGATTCCGAAACGGTGGAGTTCCTAAAATGGTTACATGACGACCCGGATCACGACAAAGACATCAACAACAACAACTCAGCACCTGTCGTATCACCTGTCAGCTCGGACAACAGAATACCTGAGTCTGTGGACTTTGAATCTTTTGTCAACCTTGAAGACCTTGCCTCCGCTGATTCCATCTCCCTCCCCACCCCACAGTCAGTTGACTCTCAGACAAGCCCCCAGTCCCCTCAGGATAAAACCCATCCCCATCTTCGATTTTCTTTCATCCCTGAATCTCATTACACCAGCAAAAACTTGAAAACAGACAGTTTGTCCTCAGGATCCCCATACACCATCCAGAACTCTCCATTCCACGCCGTCTCAGACTACTGCAGCACCCAGAAGTGGCCCTCGTCCGCCCACACGTCGCCCTCGGCATCACCCTCGTCCATCAGCAGCACCGACTACATGTGGGTGTCCTCCACAGAGAGCCAACAGTTGTCCCTCCTCTCACTTTTCTCAGACGAGAACGCACCTGCGTTACTCCAGAGCGAGTGCTCACTCCCAGAGATCAGATTCATCTAAACAAAAATACCTGACCTTGACCCTTAGACGGTCAGACCACCTGACCTTTGAACTTACAGGGAATTTACCTGTTTGGATGCCGTATGTGAGCACTGACAGGTATTTTCCTAGCTCTGTTTTAAAGAGATAGAAAAGCCAATAGGCCAGTGTCTGGGCGCCGTCCTATCCTATAGGGAGCCATGTCAAGAAACCATCCATCCCTATTATCCACGTCCTGTAATAAATAACCTATCCAGTTTCTGTGATTTCTGCTTGATGTAAAGTGGATTAGAATCAAAATAAGATCTAGCACTTAATCTGGTGCCGGATTAACCAATATGCAAAGACATGCGGGCTCACCAGGCATTAATATCAAGGGTTCCATGTTCCATATAAGCTTGAACTGCGTTACATAGCTTGACCAGCTTCGACCCCGTACCTTGCTAGAAATGCTAGAGCTGTACACGAAAGAGCCTGACCAGCTATGATCGTGCTAAAGTAACTATGACACTGTAACCCCTACCTGCGGAGTAGCGCAGTGCTGATAATCTAGTCGTTTATTTTTCTATCGCCAGCTGTGATGATTTCAACAGATTTATTTTTTTATTTTTACTTCAATAAATTTGTCTTTCACTGTTACGATTTGTGTTGTGGGTTTTATTTTTAGCCAGTCTGGGTACGTGGTTTTTTGAGAGCCTTTCTCTCAGACCAGGTTAAAGAAAACTAAGATGTAGTCGAGTTGGCCTTCGTGGAGCAAGAAAAAGGACTAGCTGCAATGTGTTGGTGAATCAGTTTGCCCGCCTCAGTGTTTGTACTCACGGAAACTACACAACTATATAATTTACAGCATTATTAAAAACGAGCTGACCCGCGACGTAGTATACGCCGCCATCTAGTTGTTTTATTTTCTGTCGATCAGCAATTCATAATTTGTGAATTCAACACAACCCCCGCCCAGTGAAAGCAGCCGTTTACAGACAAAGAAAAGATCAATCAGAAATGGTTACCTCCCCTTCGTTTTAAATCGTCTCAAACTAAATTATCTGCCCCTAAAAGCCGTCACTAACCCGGCTCTACGATTGTAAACATTCGGGGTGAACCACAGCTCACCTGACATGTGGGGATGAGGGTGGTGGCTAAGCTGCGTGGTGCTTTCTATGGTCTCCATGAAGAAAATTATATATATAGATATTTTTCTTCTAGTCTTCGCCAACATTTAAAACGTCCAAAACTTAGTGTGCGGTCGCCACTATCGTGTGTAGGGGCACCTAATGAGTGGTTCAAACAGATAACGACTCAGTACATCTGTGGGGGTGGACGTAGTGAGAGGACTACAACATTAGTGGACGTCCACGTAGGGTGGTGGTAGGTTTTAGAACTGTAATGTATGTAGGATGGGTAGGACAGTGATGTGTGATATTAGCTTGGGTGGGACAGTGATGTGTGATGTTAGGCAGTGTTTCTCCCAGACTTTTTTCTCGGGGGGGGGGGCACTTAAAATTTTCGGGGGGGGGGGGGCGGACATTGTTAAAAGTACATATTTATTATATAGATTTTATATAGATTATCTAAGTTTCATTTCGATGCCTGATAGAAATTCTGATGTTAGGTTGGGTGGGCCATTTATGATGGTGGAAGGTTGGGAAATGGCTAGATTGGACACCGTGTCTAAAGCTTTGAATAGGACCCGTCATGTAAAAACCAATTTATTGTACTCGTTTGATGGATCATAGTATTATGTGACACTATAATGTCCCCTTTGTCGTCGAATGATATAATGAGAGATAGATACGTTGCCTAATTAAGTTTGTAGTAGACTAAGCGCACCTAATTAATTATACCATAGCCATACACAAAGCGAACCGTATAAGATTTACGTTATACAATCATCATCAAAGAAAGAATTACCCGGATGTACACGTTCTGTAATTCCTTTTAGTTACTACCTGCGATATGTAATTCGTTACAGTTACTACCTGCGATATTTAATTCCTTACAGTTACTACCTGCGATATGTAATTCCTTACAGTTACTACCTGCGATATGTAATTCGTTACAGTTACTACCTGCGATATTTAATTCCTTACAGTTACTACCTGCGATATGTAATTCCTTACAGTTACTACCTGCGATATGTAATTCCTTACAGTTACTACCTGCGATATTTAATTCCTTACAGTTACTACCTGCGATATTTAATTCCTTACAGTTACTACCTGCGATATGTAATTCCTTACAGTTACTACCTGCGATATGTAATTCCTTACAGTTACTACCTGCGATATGTAATTAATTCCTTACAGTTACTACCTGCGATATGTAATTCCTTACAGTTACTACCTGCGATATGTAATTCCTTACAGTTACTACCTGCGATATGTAATTCCTTACAGTTACTACCTGCGATATTTAATTCCTTACAGTTACTACCTGCGATATGTAATTCCTTACAGTTACTACCTGCGATATTTAATTCCTTACAGTTACTACCTGCGATATGTAATTCCTTACAGTTACTACCTGCGATATTTAATTCCTTACAGTTACTACCTGCGATATGTAATTCCTTACAGTTACTACCTGCGATATGTAATTCCTTACAGTTACTACCTGCGATATGTAATTCCTTACAGTTACTACCTGCGATAACAACGTCCTCGCTACCCTCTGTGTAATTAGGCTAATTAGAGCTTTAGTGTAATTTGACGTAAACGCCGCCTCACGCTGCGGTAGTTAACTACAACAACGGTGCGGGCGTCGGTACTCAACTATTGATCACGTGATACATCTGTAGGAGTGTGTGTGTGTGGGGAGGGGGGGGGGGTGGAAGGGCGTTAGATGAGGGTATTTTCTGTAATCAAATGGTCCTGGTATAAACGGGTATATGTTGAATGATGGACTGGTTTCTGGTGTAGAAACAACATGTGTGGGTCTTATAAAGACAAAAGTTGGTTATTTTATAAACCAAAGTTGGTTATTTTATAGACAAAGGGGGTTATTTTATAAACAAAAGTGGGTCTTATAAATACTAAAATGGGTTATTTTATAGACAAAAGTGGGTTATTTTATAAACAAAAATGGGTCTTAAATATACAAAAGTGGGTTATTTTCTAGACAAAAGTGGGTTATTTTATAAACAATAGTGGATCGTAAAATGTTGCGTCCCACGAACGATAAGCGCGTGTGATTTACAATTACTACTTAGAAGTGGGCACCGCCCACAAGTTATTCTGCTCATTGTAGTACACGTTTTATGTTGTCATACGCTGACCTACCGGAAATTAGATCCGGTGTTAATAAGAACATGAGATAGCTGCCAGATATACAATGGTTGATTTATAGATTACCTAGAGGTATAATGTGCTTTTGTCACATACGGCTTTGTTGTGTAGACTACCATCATTGTGAACACTGTCTATAGGACAGGCGGCACCACACATGTCGTATCAACCACACTGCTCGCATCAACACAACACGGGTCGCAACAACCACACTGGTCGCATCAACCACACACACGTACGGACAGACAGGCGGCACCACACTGCTCGCACATATCACACTAGTCACACACGGGTCGCACCAACCACACACGGGTCGCACCAACCACACACGGGTCGCACAACCATACTAGTCACACACGGGTCGCACCAACCACACACGGGTCGCACCAACAACAAACACACACTTGCAGATAGACTGTACTACACATACTAAAGGGCATCTTAAATGTGATATTACACAGACAGCAACTTTTACACTAACGGACAGAAAGCACCACACATCAGCAGACAGACGTACTAGAAGAACGACAACACCATACAGACACCAAGACATACATCAGCAGACAGACTTACTAGAAGAACGACAACACCATACAGACACCACCACAAACATTACCAGGCAGACAACACCATACATACACCACCACATACATTACCAGACAGACAACACCATACAGACACCACCACATACACATGTACTAACTGTATTCAACCCACTCAGACCAGACGAAGCCAGTACTGCTACGGTACAGACCAATCAATCCCCCAATGGCCTACAGATTTGATCGTGATTATCTCCCTGCCAGCCCACCTAATTGCTCCGTTTTACCCAATTCAATTTTAATTTGTGAAAAACAAATTAGGATGGTTTTTAATGGTTTGTTGATAAACTTTAAGGGCTGGGGCTATTACGGGGTTGCGCAATTAAAAATTAAGGCTTCAGTGGTTTATCAATACCGCGGATAGAGAACAATTCTAGAATGTTCTGAATTATGTTAGATTGTTTTGAGTAAGGCTGGATGATTGTAAACAAGTTTATTCTGAATTGGCCCATAACGAAGGCTGGTTATGTATGTGGGAATGTGGTGCTATCAAAAAGAAAAAAATGCGATAAGTGTTTGGTTGTTAGATGCAATATTCCCCCCCCCCCCCCCAAAAAAAAATGTGTTCATTAAACAAATCCTTTTATATAAGATACACTGACTTAAAGACATAACAAATCGAAGCAAACACATAACGCTATTTTCTCCGGAAAAAAAACTTGCTTACTTGTAAACTAAGAACATAAAATAGATCTACGTCTATTTTTATTTTACCATTGAGGAAATGAAATAATTAGACATGGGGGGGGGGAGGGTAATTGTTTACCATTTTTAAAATTGGCCTTTCTGCGTCAACGGTGACGCGGACATATAAAAGCCGTGATTTAAAAAAAAAATAGTTTCACAATCCCAGGCCCTCTGGTGGCACATGGCAACATAGGGGGCGTTGCCTGGTTGCCGTGAGTGTAGGGGGGTGGGGCCGCTCTGATGCGAGTGTCAAGGCCGAGGGTAGAGGACAGCCACCCCATAAATCAATACCCCACGTTTCACAACACAACAAAACAATTTGTTTTGTTTACATCGGCGTCGTTACGGCATATCAAGGCAATCAATAGGGTGGGCTGGCTATAGAAACACTTGGTAAGATTCGCGAAATTACGTCATTTTCTGTTTCGACGAGGTTGGGTGGGTTTCTTTCATGTGTATTGAAAAAGAAAACAAGTTTCATGATTGGTTTTTATTACGTCCATGTTGTTTTTTTTCTTCCAACAATTGAACAAGGAAACTAGTTTCATTACGGAACTGTTGTTTGTTATGTAGTGGTCCCAATTGTCTTTGCTTGACGGCTAGGGCTGGCGGAAAGTTAATTTAAAATGGAGATAAATCTATTTTTAACCACCAATAGCCACGCGAAGAGATCCATAGCCGGACAGGAAGTGATACGGTTATCTGCGCAGCTGGAGGCTAAAACAGGACTGCCGCTGACGTCATCACCCCATCTGTAAACTTGAAAGCCTGAACTAATTAAAGATATTTTAAAGTGCTCCATTAATGCGTTCTCATCGTAGGGATGGGGGGGGGGGGGACGACGACAACAGAAGATGTTGCTTGCTTACAGGAGATTAGATCCTACGTCGATAACCACTTTTAAAAATGCATCAGCGTTGGTCTTAATAGTCTTGTGAAAACTAAATCAGGCTCGAACAGTATCGGATTTAGTTTGTTTTCTTTGATGTTTCCTTGGAGGGGAGCAGGGAAATGACGTCAATGAGGACATCAAGGACAGACCTGGACTGACCGTTACAGAAATAATTAG